TGTCACGTGTCTGTGAACAGCTGTTCTAACATTGTACAAGAAACAATTAGCAACTCTCCAGGATTCACTGAAGTGAAACCACTGGAAATTCCTTGAGTGCTGTGGAGAACCTGCAGCAAGTCCTGGAGACCACTTGGGCTGAATGTGGAATCTCACTCATTTAACAATACCTCTTGGTTCATATTTGTAGCATTGTTAATGTATTTCTTAGACAGATTGACATCCATTGCTTGTGGTTTCACTGCTCCTGTTCATATGTATTTCTCTAGTATTTGATGTAATCTTCTCAAGTGTATATAATCCATTTTTAGTATTGAATGCTCTTAACCTCAACTGAATGTTTTGAATTAATAAAAGGAATTGCTTTCATGACCAACTGACTGATGAAGTTATATATTTGAGCCTCACTTGAGATATATGGCTGGTTTAAGTGGCAATTACTTTACTAATTTTCTCTGTAGGATTGAAGAAAATGGTTAAAGACATGGTTTGGGTAAATGTGTTTTTTGTTTGGTTTTGTTTTTTGTCACTGCAGTGGAGACTAAATTTGGCCATGTAGATGGTCAACTGGGTCTACATCATCAAACCTCTCAATAAAATCTTGACATCAAATCTGTGTGAACATTTCTGCTTGTCAGTGTTGCCAGCCCAATATTCTGCATTGTCTCTAGGAAAGGTTAGTGTTTATAACTCTTCTTGGAAAGTACAAATGACCTCACTGAATAAATCTGGAGGAACTGCCTTTTTTCAAGTTTGTTTAAATATGTTCTGTGAACTACAATATGACATATCCTGAGAAGTAATCCCAGTTCAGTGGAGAAAAATATACCTAGGATCCAAAGGGTAATGTCACTGACAGTCTGCGAAGAGATATTACTGAGGTCATGGTTTCCTCACACTCCGGAGCAGATCGAGAAGTTTCACATCAGTCAGACATGTCCAGTCCCTTCTCAGAATCAGTTTCCTGAAACATTTGCAGTAGAGCAAATAGACCTTACACAGAAGTGTCCAACCACTGGAGAATCAACTTGCAAATGTCTTTTAGAGCAGTAGACTTTCATCAGTTCTCTTTTGTATCAAGGAAAATAATCTGAGATGATGGGCAGCATGTAGCTACAAATTTACAAGTCAAACCAAAAAATTTCTTTATCAAACAGGTCATGCTTTACATTCAATGAGTGGTAATTCTCCATTTGTTCATTCTCAATCTTTTATTAAAGTAAACACAGAAATACTCTTAATGTTGATTCTGTCCCGGGAGGCAAAACGAAGCAAAAGGAGGCATAGTGGGCACTGGCTTTTACCCTATTACTCTACTGTCCAGAAGTAGGTAGTTTTCTCATTACAAGCTGACAAAAATAAGACTCTGCAGTGCAAACTTCAAGAAAGAAGAGGGTTTATTATATGATTTGAAAAGACTTAAACATGGAAAACAGTGACACAATATGTATACTTAGATCTGCCTCAAAATCCTGCATCCACTTGAGCCCTTTATACCTTTCTGGCTCTTCAGAACTGCAATGTTTATAAGCACTAAAGAACCTATAGCAATTCCCACAGTCAAGTAGAAGAATAAGTTCTTCCTATATTCACTGAAATGCACCCTCTGTTGATTTCACACAATGAGCACTGGACAGGATTTAAAGCTTTTACAGGTGAAGTATTTTTCTGCAGTTACAGCAGACCTAGGAAAAGACAAAAAAACTACCTTCTCCCACATGTGGTGTCTGTGCAGAGAAATCTGCCCATGAAGCCCATTCTCTACTCACTCCAGCAGCTTCTTGATGAAAAGCTCTACTATTTTCATTTCTCCAGTCTTCTGTACACTGGGCTCCCAATGGGTCGCAGACCATTTTGTCTTCTATGCATGTCCCTTGAGTTCCCTTTAACAGGTTTTAGAGTGAGGGGATACACATCCTAAGGTAGATAGACTGGCAACTAGAGCATCTGGAATTTCTCAGAAAAATGTATTTTATGCACAATTGTTTCTTCTTTTGTCGACTTTATTCTCCAGAAGGCACATAAATGAAAGAGTCTCAGCTCCAGACTTTTGCATCTTGACCACCCTACTCATGTGGCCTACTACATATTCTTGGAAGATAAAGTATTTGACAGACATCAGAGGTTTCAGAAACATCCCCAGGCACATTCAGCTATTTGATATTTGACATTTGACACATGTATCAAGAATGTACATTGGAGATTAGATAGCCTGTTTTAAAAATGGTGTTGGAAAATTAGCTCTTTGCAGAAAATTACGTTTGTACTAATAGCTCACTCCATAGACTAAACTAAAATCAAAATGGATTAAACATTAAATATTAGATGGGTCAAAATCTTAAAAGAGAAACAATGAATGCACAGGAAGATAAATTACTTTAAATACTTAAAGTCACAGGTGCAGGCAAGGACTGTTTGAACAGAACTCCATTTAAAAATGAAATAACAACTCAAAAAATCAACAAATGGGATTATATGAAATTAAAACATTTCTGAATAGCAAAGGAATCAATTAGTACAGGAAAGATCCAACCTACAGAATGGGGAAAACATCTTACCATGTATTCCTCAGACAGAGAACTAATATCTAGATTATACAAAGAAGTCAAAAACATGAGACCACCCTAAATAAAAGAGACAGTCAAGAAATGGGCAAATGAAATGAATAGACACTTCTCAGAACAGTAAGTACAAATGTCTGACAAACATACGAGAAAATGTTTAACATCTTTTTTCATCATTAGAGAGATGCAAATTAAAACGGTGTTAAGATTTCATTTTACACAAGAAAGAATGGCAACTATGAAGACATCAAAGAATAACAAATGTTGGTGTGGCTTTGGGGCAAAAAGCCTACCCGACTTTATGGATGGGAATGCAAACTAGCACGACCATTATGAAACTAGTATGGAGTAAAGAACTGAAATTAGAAATTCTTTTGACCCACTATTCCCCTTCTAAGTATCTTCTTCAAAGAGCTAAGGATATCACATTATATCAATATGTGCACACCATTGTGTTTAGCAGCATAATTCCTGATAGCTCAATTCTGGAAGCAGCCTGTATACATATCAACAGATGAATAGATAAAGAAAAGGTAGCATCTATTCATAACGGAATACTACTCAGCTTTAAAGAAGGATACTTCCAAGACATTTGTAGGAAAATGAATATGCCTGGAAAATATAATATTGAGTGAAATCAATAAGACATTCAAGTTTAAATACTGCATGTTATCTCTCATTTGAATAGGACAAAGTACAAATAAAAAGGAAAACAAGGATTGATAGAAGGAAAAAAAGAGATGTTTTTCAAATGAGTGGTGGTCCAGGTGAATTAAGATGAAGGGATGTGGGAGGGAAGGGAAAGTAAAAATAATTAAGTTGAGTCACTTACATGTCCCCATAGTGAGTATAATCACTACCTCAAGAACATGAGCTAGAAATAATAACAATGAAACTGAAAATGGGGAAAGGGGATTTAGAGAAGGGAGAAAGCTGGGTGGGAAAGGGAAGGGGACTAAAAAGGAATCAAGCTGTGTTATGTACATGCACACGCTCCCTCATGTGAATGTTACTGCACATAGAGGCACACACCTGAATCCCAGCAGGCAGGAGGGTAAGATAGGAGGATCTCTGTGAGTTGGAGGGAAGCCCGTGTTACGTCATAGTGAGTTCAAGACCAGCCTAGACCACATAGCAAGATCCTGTCTACAAATAAATAAAATAAATGACTGACTATTCTTCTCATCTACTACAAACATGTGCTAATGAAAAAAGAATTCATTGGTAACTATGGTCCTTGTAACTATGTGATTATGTCTCTTTCAATATAAAGAATGAATTTGTCCTGGATTTATCTCTGTGTTTGAATTCTCAAGTGCAATATTATGAGGTAGCAGAAAGGCCCTCTCCTAACATTGGTGCCATGCTCCTGGGCTTGCAGATGCACACTTGTCTATACTGTTAATAATTTATCTATTCTGTGGTGTTTGGTTATAGCAGCACCAAATCAACTAAAATATTACCTCTTCATAATCAGGAAAATATCGCAATATTCAGAACGCACTAAAGTTGAATACATAATAGTTTACTATCAAGCAGATTTGAATATCCACCAAAAACAAGAGTCTCGATGGGTTTAGATTTAGGGGTCATATATTTATATGTCTTCTGTCTATCATCTACCATTAGGAGTAACAAGAAGAGCTGGCAAAAATATTTATCTATACTTCAGGTTGTCTTTTCATTGTATTTTTTTCTGTGTGTGTACAGAATCTTTTTCATATTATGCCATTTGTTGATTTTTAATTTTTGTGTATCTACACAATTGATGTTCAGAAATTTATTTCACATTCTGCATATCAAGAATTTCACTGCTTTTCTCATGCAGCAGACTGTTTCTGTTTTGACCCTTAGATCTTTGGTCCATTTTGAAAGTGACTGGAGATGGAGGATTCCCAAGGACATAAGGAGTCTGGAGGGGTGAGTGTTGCATTCCCTGATCTGATTGTCATGGTGTTCACAAAGAACCAAAACTATCTCAAAATTTATTAAAGTTTTCACTGTAATTATAGCTAGTTTATTTCATTATTGAAAGTAAGAAAACATATATAAAAATAATCTATAACAAGGAGCACTGGTGTGTGGTCCAAGGAGAAGAGGACAGCTCTGGAACTCTTGAAAATCAAAAAAGGATGCATGGTGGAGACACAGGATTCCCTGGGAGAGGTCAAGTATGAGGCGAGTAGAGTTGGACTGGTCATCACATCCCCTGTGCTTCAGGAGATGGAGACCACAGGATTCTTCTCTATATATTTATGCTAAAGAGGGGCAGGACCCAGTGTTTCCATGGAAAACTTTTCCTAGTAATAGCCTTCTGGTGAGTGACTCAGAGAGCAGAGATAAGGAGGAATTTGGGTCCAAAAGGTGTCTTTGGATGCACCCAGGACTACACTGCCAGCCAAAATAGAAACCACAGGCTGGGCCTAAGCCACAGGCCCTGGGTGTTCATTCTTCTGGGAGAGGAAGATGTTTTTGTCTTGACTTCCCCAGGAAGCTGCAGCACTGTGTGACCACTGAGGCTTGTATCATAACACAGACAGTAATAATCACCCTCATCCTCAGGTTGGAGCCGACTGATGGTTAGGGAGGCTGAGTTGCCAGATTTGGAGCCAGAGTATCGATCAGAGACCCCAGAGGGTCGATTGCTGTTTCTATAAATGATGAGTTTGGGAGTCATTCCTGAGAGCTGCTGGTACCAGCTGGCAGTATAGCCATAACCAATATTGGTGCTGCTTCCAGTGCAGGAGATGGTGACTGTCTCTCCTAGAGGTCCAGATACTGAGGGCGGCTGAGTCAGCACTGCCTGGGCCCAGGACCCTGCAAGTGAGAAAGACACAGAGATGGTAATCTAATACCAAAAGAGAAGACAGGTCTCCCCAATTTCCTAAGCCCATTTTCTGTCTGCTATCTAGTCACCTGTGCAATGAGCCAGAAGGATAAAGAGGAGAGGGGACCAGGTCATGGTGGAGATCATCCCTGAGTTCTGCCTTCTGTGCCCCACAGGAGAGCAGTGTCCCTCAAGTCTCTGTCTCACCCTCTTCATAACCTGAGAGGTGGTGGCTCCACCCATGCAAATAAGGTTCTTAGCAGATTTCTGATCTGATCTTACCCTAGGTTCTGGCTCAGTCTCCTGTGACAGAAAGAGTTGATTGGGTGGGTAAGGGTGGAGCTGACTTTGAGGATGGGACAGTTTGCAGCTGTGACACTGGAGTAAGGATAAGTGTGTGTGTGTGTGTGTGTGTGTGTGTGTGTGTGTGTGTGTGTACCTCTTTACAATTCTTATCACCACTCAAAAATGGGTTGCTGATGCCCCCTAATGTCCAGGCCCTGACACAGCATGTTGTGATTTAGTGACTACAGCCTCTCAGGGACAGACTTACCTCTCCATTCCTTCTTAGTCATCACCAGTCAGGCCCTTTGTGTCTTCCCACTACATCAGGAAGCTTTGTAGGGAGATTTTGCAAGGAGGCCCTAGCTTCTGATCCTGGCAGAGGTGGATTACATCATTGCAAACATCTTATGGTCTCAAAGAGTCATTGTATTTCTGAGTAGATTTTCTGTGACATAGAACCAAGCACAGTGATTTTTATTTTACCACTAGCTAAGTCTATTGGGATTTTAGCAACGGTCAAGTCTAAAGTCTCTTTTTGTTTGTTTGTTTGTTTTTTCCTAAACTCTCTTTGAAGTCAAAATTCATGGAAGAGCCTATGACCTTCAGCTGCTCTTCATATGATTAACAAATGGATAACACAGTGCCTGATCCTAGTCAAGTATTCATTAGTTATTGGAGTACTATGGGGTCCACAATGAGATACAACTTCATTGTCACTAGGGTAGCTATAAGAAAAATAGTAGATAATATTATTGCTGGTAGCAAAGTTGAGAAATAGGAAATTTTGTAAAATAGATACTTTACTTCATAAAAATGTAAATTGATGCAGCCATTTTAAAAGGCAGTAACATACAGTATCTTCTCTAATAAACTTTCTGTGTAACCCTACAATTCCCCTCCTACTTAATTTGCAAAGAGAGATGAAAACCCTGAAACCTCATAAAAACTTGAAACCGTCAGAAATGCTATATTTCATCTCTAGATGTCCTCCAAATCCTTCTGTGCTCATAGGTGAAGGTTTTGGGAGATGATTGTTCGTGGGATGTGATAATCATCCGTGTATTATTCCATTGATAAGGTTGTGGGTGACTTGATGTTAGCAGGTGGTATCTGTGTGGAAGAGGCAGGTCAATAATGGGAGAATTTGAAAGATTTATGTATTCTTAGCTTCTCTCTTCTGTGTCTCTCTCTGTCTCTGTCTCTCTGTATCTCTTTCTGTCACTCCCTTTCCCAGTCACCAAGTTATGAACTGTTTCTCATCTGCTACTTAAATTCATGTCTCATTTTGATCATTTTTATTTTCTTCTATTCTTGGAAAATGGCATTACTGACACCTTGAACACTGCACCTTTATTAGTCTTTAAAGCATATCTCTATCCACCCTGAAAAAATCATAGTAGATACCATCCTTTGAGATTTCTTTCAAACACTTTAGTCTTGAATTAGCTAGAAACTATGTTCAAGAAACATAGACATTTTAAAGAGTTAAACTTACAGGTCTACAATTCAGTACAAGTTAAGGTTGAAAATCTTTCATGGATTTAAAATATAATCCACACAAGTGACAATTAACTTTCTATTCGTTATGTAGGTAAAAGCAGGTGTGTTTTTGAGAATTATGAAAATTTAAAAATGAGAAAAAAGAGTATTGGACCAAAATGTATTGATAAGGTATGTATCTTCCAGAAACATAGTATTTATAATGCTCCAACATGCTGAAATTTCATGGAAATGATATAATACAAACTAAATTTTATGGACAGAGTGATTCTTTCCTTGGTACCTGGCTGGAAGCCTCAAAGGTCCAACTGCAGTGACTTTCACTGCAGGTGTCCTAAAGGGGTGAGGTATGAAGAAAACCTGTAATATAAGACCACAAATTTGACCTCTCGCTACCTGTTTCACATGGTAGCATTCTTTCTTTCCCACTAAAATCTGTTGGTATAGTGCATTTTCTCCTTGCTGTTTAGTGGCTTCTTTGATCCATATGTGACTAAGTCCCACATTTGTTCAAGTGAATTTTCATCAACTTTTTATTGTCGTCTGAGCAACTCAGTACAACTGAGGAAAAAAAGAATTTGGAGTCCAATATCAATCCAATAGTGAAAAAAAATTAAAATGAAAGTCTTCCAGGAAATCCCCATATGCAAATTACTATCTAATTTCACTCATCCTGGTCTTGTCAATTTCTGCTCCATGAAGTTAGGTTTTTTTTTTTTACTTTTCCTCACTAAATGAAACTTTCCCTTTCCACATTTCACACTGACAGAATTAACATAGCATCCAGAAACAATGGCACAGTCTGTACATTTCTGCTTATTCTTTTTCCTCTGATCCAGGATTTCTACTGTGTCTTCATATACTGATATTCTTTCTTCCAGCTGATCTAACCTTTTGTGTGAACTTTCAATTTAATTTTCACTTCACTTAATGAAGTTATTTTTCCAGAATTTCTGAGTGGCCTTTTTCTAGAACTCTCTCTCTGTTGAGTTTCAATTGGTTTTTAAGTGACTTGAGGTTTTCATTATCAGAACTTAAAGTTAGTTCTTTTTCAGATCATCTATTCCTGTCCTGGAGCGGTCTTTCATATTCTTCACTGTCTTGTTTATTTCAGTCAAGTATTTGTTTGTTTCTTCTTTGAGATAATTGATAATTTTAGTATTTGATTCATCAACAGCTTATTTATCTTTTCACTGATCTCACTGATCATTTTAATCACAAGGCAACCTAATTGTTCTCTCTCAGTCTCTGCTTTGTACTGCTTGTTGCCTAAATTTTTTTAAAATTTTATTTAAAAGGAAAAAGAGAAAAAACAAAACAAAACAAAGCAGTGTAAGGGTACAAGTAATACAGAACTACAAAAAAAAATGAGTAAGAAATCACCAGTTAATAGGTTACACATTATCATCTTAGAGATAGTTGCTCAAGTCACAGTATCAGAGCATACAAAGTGGACATTCAAACAGTGAGACTGCAAACAGTTGTGCTCAATGATCCAACCAAAAACATTAATATGGTCAGTTATTTAACACCCCTAAACACACTTGCAGTTGTATCCTTTAGAGCACATTTTTTACCTCTCTTTTTTACAAAAAAAAAATTTACACATTTTGGGTTTTATTACTCCTTAGTTCTTATTACTTTTTTTTGGAAGAGTATAAAGTCAAATATGGCAAAACAAAGCTGTCAGTCAATTACTTTGAATAACATTGTCTAGTTTTCTAGTGGAGCATAATATGTGGCTCAGTGTGCTCTGTTTCTCTCCACACCTGGAAATGTTTCTAACTTTAAATTTACATAAATGATATTTTCCACAGACTTCATTATGAATCTCACTGTTTTAATGCAGAAGAGAACATTTCATGATAATGTACACTTCTTTTTGAGACGAGAGTTCCTTGTGTAAGGAAAACTGGGAGACAAGAAGGGAAAGGAAAGGATTTCAGTGAGTTTTCTGCCAAATCCTAGCTGGAAAGAAGTAAACCTCTGCTAAAGAGAGCAGTCAGAATATAAGAGGGTGAATTGATAAGCAGTGCACCTGGCTTTGACACCAGCGCCCCAGTTACTCCTCTCTTTCGCCAGTTAAGCACTAAAGCAGACAAAGTGAGAAGGTGAGCTTTATTATAGAAAAACTCCTTCAATATATAAAACATACTCACACCTAGACAGTCATCCCTATATGCATATATATACATACATTCATATTCCCTCATGATATTAATACATAATATGTACATGTATCATTTTTGCTAACTCAGCCTTGAATGTGAGGCTTTGCTATAATTCTTACAGATATCACCTTGACAAAAGTAAAGAAACAAAAAAAAAACTTATCCAAAATGTGCACATAAGCAATAGAAAAGGACAGTAGTTAAATCAGCTAATCAAAGCCTAAATTAGCTAACCAAGTTATAGCAATGGAACGTCGGGAGTTCCTTTCTTGCCATATAATAAAAGAGCCAAAAAACAAAAGCCTTAAACACTAGCTCTGGGCTCCCTACTTTATGCCAACGTAGCTATCTCTCTCCTTATTTGGTCTTCTCTTTCTAATAAAGTGATTTTTTTTCCTTCTAGACACATATCACTGATTCTTTATTTGTCCAAGTTTATGAACCCTAGATAAAATCTACCTTCATGAGGTTTGACAATTGCAATTACCGTGCCATAGAAATTTAAGTCTATCCTAAGTCCATTGCAAACATATGCATCTTACAATATCAATGGATTTTTTGTTGTTTTTCTATTAAAATACTAAAATTTATTGCTTTATTTTTCATTATCTATAAATGTGTTTCATTGTTTTTTCTTCTTTCTTAAATATTCTAGGCTATTCCTTGATTTAGCTTTTCCCATGTGTCATACTTACTGTTCTTGTTGCTGAGACAAAATAGCTGACACTCAAAGTTAAAGGGAGAAAGGTTTATTCAGCTCACAGTTTGCAGAGGCTTAGGTAAAAAATTGGCTACCTCCAAAGCAGGGTCATGTGGCAGAGGGGCAACAGTTCATGACAGCAGAAGACAGCAAAAAACAAAAAGGGAGAATATGGACAAACTTCTCTCTGTTCCTCATCTTGTATCCAGCCTACCTGAACTAGGGGTTGTAACAATCAAATCCTTAGTCCCAACACTGGACTATGAACTAATCACAAACTCTAGATTCAGTCCGTTTGAAATATCTGTTCCCTATGATTGAATGAAGCTTTAAGGGAATATCTAAATAAAAATCATATAACACTCCACCCTAAACCATCCAAAGACTCATTTAGTCCATCTCTATGAGTTGTTAAACTCCTAATACTTTCAACATTGCTGAAAAGACCAAGTCCAACATCTATCTGGGTCTTGGACTAGCTCTAATCTCCTAAAGGAGCAATACTGAATGTATTAAATAAAGAGCAGTAATATGATTTGAGGGGATCTAGAAAGGTTGAAACTCTGAGAGTATAGACTGTCTCAAGTTG